TCACTTTTTGTCACCAACTATGCGAGTTCCACGTCACTCAGGCTTAAATGTCAGGTTGCACCGTAGAAATGAAAGATGTAACCGTAACAAATCTCCTCTCTTGAGGTCCTTTATTAGTCCCCCTTGCTACTTGCACTCTCTTACTCGTTTTTTGACGCTAACGCCGCACGATCTCGGCACACCATGCATTTCTCTTATTTATAAAGCATTGACTTGATGTTTCGGTTTGTCGGATGATTACGGTAGTGATAGTAGTGATATGGATAAAGGTAGTGATAAGGAAAATCTAGCTCTATCCTATCCTACATCTCCTTCCTAGATGAAGCACAGACGTGGGTACTGCAAAACTGTAATTTTGATCCGTATAGGCATCGTGCTATGTATGTTTATGCAAAAATTAGAGGTGAAAATGTAGTTGGGAGAACCCATGGCTTATTCCAACTTACAAGTGAAGGAGGAGGCGCTAGCCGGGCGATTCGACTGGTTGTTCATGATGAGATACCTGACCTCATTTTTTCGGGATGTTACAGTATTGAAAATGAAGGGATGGGACCTTCTGTTATTTCAAAAAAAGCTAACAAAACGCTCGGGCAACAGAGAGTGTGGAAGGCTCACTAAAAGACAGCTTAAAAAACGCTGCGCCATAAACCTCCAACTTAACAAATGCTTCTATTTCTGTTAAATCCAGAAACTACTAAAGTATAATTACAAGCTGTAGACCCCGGCTGAATCAAAGTTCACTCAGAACGACTATTTCAACTTACATGATGATCATCCAGGACGTCTGATGGAATTAGATCTAGTCTTACTGCGGAAGGTCTGAATTTCAGGGGAAGGATAGGGCAGCTGCCGCGCGACCACTGCCGTTTGCCGTGGAAATTCAGGGAGAAGCTCCGTTACTCCAGATTCACAGCGATAAGCATCTTCAACTCGTACGTACTATGCTGATCACAGCACCGTAATAGCTAATACCCATTTCACGCCCAACACGTGGACACAGTTCACGATCATTTTGAGATGACTTCTTTTCTTAGTCGAAAGCGAAAGTATCGGTTGGGAGTAGACATCGATGAAGAAGGCAGCTTTCGTGAAAAATAAGGTTCTTCAAAAGGTCGTACAGGACTACCGTGACGGAAATGACATGGAAAGTGTACTTGGACGAGATTTCAGTTGCAAAGAGCTGATTACATCAAGCTAAAACTGTCCAAAATTGCCTTTAACTGTCGCCTTGGGTCGTGACCTACTACGAGTAGCTTGAGACAGCGCAGCCTCTACAATGCAAATGAAACTCGTCCGCACGTGCACACGGGACAACTTTGAGCCTTTATAACGCCCTACCAAAGCCGATTTCCGACCTGACAGCGCCACAGCGCCATGGATTACGAGGTTGCCGCATATTTATTCAGCGCGATATCTCACAAGCCTTTATTGTGAACTACGGCTTTGAGCCCTTGGTTACAGGGGATCAGAAATGTGTTGTCTACTGTGAGGTTCATTGATGTGCACGAAGTTTCACATCAAGGTGCGGATGCGGAGCACATCTTCAGACTCAACCTACACGCCAGAACGGTAATGTCCCACAAGTTTAGCAGAGCATACACTGCGTCAAATACTGAAGCTGCTTGTCGAGGCATCTAAGGAACGTCCATATTGAGCAGTTCGGGAGTTCGATGGTGAGCTTTGAACATATACAACAGCAGGAGCACCACAACTTATACGACACTGTTCGACCGAATGTAAAATGTATGACAAGACAGAGACAAGTCTATACGGCTTAATTACCTTAGCACACCCACAGTGTTCCTCGAATCTGGGGTTTCATCCCTCGTATAACCACATTTTTCCAATCCCTCCTGATTGTTTAAAGCTTCCAAACCAGCATTATCATCGAAAAAGCACTCAAGCGGTTCAACAGTTTTTTCCAACGTTCAGGTGTAAGGGCATCAATGATCTGCTGAGACGTTGCCTGAGCAGCATCGATGGCAGTGGGGCATAAGGATCAGAACAAAACTCTTCGGCTCCGATTTTGTGATGCACTTCCGTGTTTGGTCTCTATCTAAGACACGCTATACGATAATTTGGAAGAGTCTAGTTTTCGAAGAATAATGGAAGTAGCAGTCTAGAACAGTACAAAAGTGGAGAAGAAAATGCAATGTTTTAAGGGCTTTGAAGCCCTCAAAACGCCCAGTCTTTGACCCGAAAGTATCCCATGTCCTATCCTTGAGGTCTTGCACAATGCAACGATTTGAATGCTCAGCCTCTTCAAGTGAGTGGTAATGCTAACAAACCATTCCTGTACCGAATAAACGACTCGGAGGGATGGAAGGCTTTATTGGGCTATGTAGTACGAAGGGAACCCAAGTTATAACAACAACATAATATAGCCTTCAGCAAAGACGATACAGTTAAAAGGAAACGACTCATGGGTGCAGTTCTACATTGGTAGGATTGAGACAAACTTGTTTTCATCTCTTACCCATGATCTTCCATGATACAGATGATATCATGGTGATATCAATGGCATTACCACAACACATCCCTGGTAAGATTCATTCGCACTCCAGCTCCACTGGAATATCGTTCATCGCCATGAGTGACAGGTGTGGTTCGGTTTACGAAAGACATATCCGCTTCATGCCAAATCTTCACAGCATTTCAGAAGTGACTCAGATCGAGAACGTGCAAAAGGCCAAGAAGGCCTGTCCGGTTATGAAGTGTTCCTCGTGATACTGGGCATCCTCCTGCTTGTGGAAAGTGGTTTACGACTATTCTTCAATTTCGAGTATGCGACCCTTGCCCGTTGCGCCCTGCTCCTCATTCTTGCCGCTTTATTCATCGTCGGAGTTTGCAAGAAATCTTCAGTGTGCATGTTAATTGCAATGATTATTTTGACTATCTCACTCATTCCGCTAACTATTGCCGTAGTGATGCTTGCTATTGATCTCATTGGAAACAAGCAAGAACTAACTACGACTACGATTATATCCGCTGTGTTGGCTATAGTAGCCTACGTGTGCAGTGTTCTGGCCTGTATCTCGACCTTTGTGCTACGCAAACAGTATTAGTTCTCAAGACAACCGAACAAACCGTTTTGTCGACAAATTCAAAGCCAGATAATAAACATTTCTGTAATCTTCTGCACCGAGTAACACTCTGAATACCCTCAACAGAAGGCCTTACGAAGGGAGACATGGTAGGAGGCATCGTTCCTCACTCGAGCAGGGATCAGCACTCGATACCCAGAACAGAACAGTGTCTCAAAAATGTTGATATAGACGACAGTTTCCCTCCGACTCCATCCCTATGCTCCTCCACCCCTTTCCTTACCAACCGCTTTCCCTTGGCACCTATCGCAATGTCAGTATATTAAGTAATGAATTCAGTGTTACATGACATTCCATCCTACAATAGGGACACACAACCTATTAAATAAGCCACAGGAGGGAAGGAGCACCAGGTGGACGAGTTTTCAAATTTTCCCTCGAGGCCATCATCTCACCCACTCCAGTACTCCTATCCTCTTGTGGCTGACCTAAAAGGATTGCGTTCCTTCGGCCAATACCGCATAAAAAAGCATTATTGCCAGAAAAACAACTCTACTAACATGGTGAGGAGTGTCAGTTCCCCAGCTACATTTTTACCCTCTTTTGGTTTCCCAGTTCGTTGTTTCACCCTCCCTATCGCTCTAACGTGGTTGCCACTGTCGCAAATATGAAAGATTCGAAGAGTGAAGCAGAAAAATGAAAACAGAGGTAGCCGGAAGTAAGGGGAGGTGGAAGATGGAGAACTTATTGGGATTTGATCTATCAGTCTTCCATGATTGAAGTGCATATCATTCAGAGTTCCACTGATAAGTAGATTTCTTCGCACCTATGCACAAATCTCGACGTCTGGGTTTCATCCGCTTTGGGGTCGTCCTTGATCACTCCCTACTTCTTCAAACTTTTCCGTTTATAGCAGTGATAGCATTAGAAGTTGTACCTGTCTCATAGGACATCTGAAGGGAGTACCCCCTTCGTCCTTTTTTTTTGCTCTGACCAAAATCTAAGGATACCGAGTATACTCGATGCTTACGACCTTGCTTTTTTATAATATGTATAGCGGAGGTAGCGCAGTAACAAGGAGAAATTCACTCTCCTCTACACGACCCTTCCCCCGACGATTTATGTAGGTACCAAAACCCGCTCAGCCAATCAGGGTCCCTAGAATTATGAGGCCATAAGAGGCTCCTCTCATGATGAAAAGACGGTCATTAGGTCTGGAGATTTAGCTGCTCAATTATTGGTGCTGTCCATGTCTTTAACCACGCCATACTCGGCCGTCACCCCACAACACATAGCGTTCAACACGATACGACCGACCAATCAGCACAACGTTTGGCCAGACCGAGTGCCACTTTTATTTTTTGTTGATAGGGCTACCCTTGAGCTCCTCAGCTACCCATCAATCAGGCCAGATTGAAGCACATACTACCTTGCAAACTCAGACGCAGATAAAAACTACGACTCACAATCAGATGAAACCCGATTGGCAATGGAGGTAGTTTTAGAAGATAGTGGCTTATCCATTCTCACATCTCTCTAGACAAGGGAAAAGCGATCGTTCAAAGCCTGCTATTCTGAATTACACGCTCGTACAAAAGGATACTAAAAAACTCACATAACTACAACATTCATCGTTAGGATCGCCTCACAAAATTATGCCATT